AATAAAATGTTTAGTGTTTGAATGGAAAAAAAAAGAAATCACACAATTTTTTAACCAGCGATTAGAATATAAACAAAAAAAAATTAAAATACTTGAATAGTTTTAGGCCAAATCAATTTTTTTCATTTTTACAATGTAGGTATGACCATCTGTTAACCACAATGGAGTTGTAAAAAGACTAAAAAGAGCAATAAAATTGCTTGAAATTAATTGTATGTGTTAATACTTATTTGTTTTCTTTATAAAACATCGATAATTTATTGACATACTATAACTTGTAAATTTAGAAAACCACTTAATTTTTGAGAAATAAGTAAAATTGTTGGTGATAAAATGAAAAAAAAAAGAAACCAAATATTTTTTTAACTAGTAAACCAGAAAAGTAAAGAAACTCAAAGAAATAAGTAAACATAAAAGGACCTTAAAATTGCAGAAACAAGTTACACAAGACAATAAATAGAGGAAAGAAAAACAATAATATTATGTATTTATTTAAAATGTAGTACAAATAAAATAAACATGATTTTATTAAACAAAGGACCCAAAATCGCCACATTTTCGTTATACAATTTATTTAACAATTTTTTCCCGATTAGTCTAATCTCAATCTTAAAAATTAACGACCGTTTCATGTCGAAAGTGCTCGTTTCGCCACGTTTTAATTGGCTCCAAACACGTCCATTTTCCCAATCGCTCACGAAATTTTCTTCAGGGGCGGCGTAGCTCTGTGCTTGTCGGCACAAGGACGTCGCAACGGTGAAGCTTTAATAAAATTCGAGAGTCAAGAGCATAGAGACATGGCGTTGAAGCGACACAAGCACCACATCGGCCAACGCTACATCGAAGTGTACCGTGCCTCAGGCGAGGACTTCCTCTCGGTGGCAGGCGGCAAGAGTTCCGAAGCTCAAGCTTTCCTCTCACGCGGGGCTGCCGTCATCGTGCGGATGCGGGGGCTGCCCTACGACTGCACCGCCAAACAAGTCGTACGTATGATGGGGGCGTTTTTGTCCAATTTTTATCTGRGGGTTTTAGTTGGACTTCTTCGCGTCGGGTGAGAATTCGTGCACGGTTTTGGACGGCACCGACGGCGTGCTGTTCGTGAGGAAGCCGGATGGGCGCGCCACTGGCGACGCTTTCGTCCTCTTCGCGAGCGAATCCGACGCACCCAAAGCTCTCTCGAAACATAGGGAATGTATAGGTTCTAGGTATATCGAATTGTTCAGGTCGACGACGGCCGAGGTGCAACAGGTTGGTTTGTGATTTTTTGTTTGTTTGGTTGGGGGTTATGTGTTTGTTCTGCAGGTACTTAACAGGTCGCTGGAAGCGCGGACTTATGAGCCTGAACCGTTGCCTCCGTTATTACCGCATATGCCTTTATTGCCTCAACATTATATTACGTCTGGGACCAAAAAAGAATGCATTAGGTTAAGAGGACTGCCTTACGAAGCTCAAGTCGAACATATCTTAGAGTTTCTCGGAGAATATGCCAAAAATATTATATTCCAAGGAGTGCACATGGTCTATAATGCGCAGGTAAGCACCCGTTTTTTATACAGCTGAAGCTCATTACGGTTTTAAAGCTTTTTTATTTCTTCGTCTAARGACTAAAATTTGATACATATGCATATTTAGGTAATTTTTTATTTCATATTTCATGTTTTAATTTTTTGACGCCTTTTTTTTTTGGTAACACTGAGTAACTAACTTTTCGTGCAGAGCTTCACTCCACAGATTTACTTAGAGACGTTAAATCTTCGGATTGTAACACAATTATTAGTAGTAATAAAACAGGAGACTGTAATTACAAATTTCAATTTTTTAAAATGCTCTAGACAGCATTGAAATTCGGATGCGTTTTTATAAAGTCTGACCAATAAATCCACAATTTTTTTATTTTATCCGTAATCTTTTTTTAATGAAACTGGAAATTGAGTTTATGGGTGCTGGTGCTCAGAAAAATCATAATGAGTCTTATTCAACAATTGGAAAACCACTCCTTAGTGTCAAAACTAATCACTGGAACAGAAACACCGAAACTCTTGTTAAATTTTTACACAAATAATTGAAAATAACATTTTTTTTTGCAACTCGGCGCTATGTTGTGTTAATCTTACATTTAAAAAAAAACACCACGAAAAACACTATATGTTGATCCAGATTTCTGGAATTTCCAAAATCGTATTTTTTGTGAACAGTCAAAGTTACCATTGATTGTATGAATATACAGTGTTGCTAACCAAGTATTGAACATAGTGGTCTGCTTGAATGATTGTTTTTCAAGAAAATTTTTACCATTTTTACTTTGTCTGGCGCCTTTGTTATTAGACGAAAATTACTTTATTATCTTTACCAATTTTACTTTGTTTGGCGCCTTTGTTATTAGACGAAAATTACCTTATTAACTTTTCCATAACTTTCTCGACTTTATATCACAATAATTATTAAGAAAAGTAAGAGTTGAAAAAAAACCTTATTAAAAGTCTCGACGCTTCATTTTCACTAGTTTTAGATGCATGTGTCATTGAGAATATAAAATCTATTGGCAACCCTGAATTATTGGTAATTCTTCAGCGGTTGACGGCTAAAGCAAGCGGTTGCCGCCGCAAATAATTGACAATCAGTGTTGCCAGCTAAAAAAAATTAACTCATTAGACGATTTGAAAAAATTGCAAGATTTATATCTATTTTCACTAGATTACAAGATTATGATGATTTAAATTTTTTTAATACTGACGAAGGTTTACATCTCGCATATCTACTCGAAAACGTGCTTCAACGCTCAAGAAAGGCAAAAATAATACAATTTTTGGTTTAATTCTCTAATTTTTTGGCTTGTATTTAACGAAATTTTTGCGAAGTATTTGCTTTGTTAGGTACTTGAACAACATGCTAAAATACTTGAAAAAGACAAAAGTATTGATTTGCTTTGGTGTTTTGTTTGGTTTTTTTTTATTAAAATCTCGCTCAAAACTAAGAATTTAGTTCAAAAACGCGCTTGAAGTCTTGAAAAATGTGAAGTAATGTCATTTTCGCCCACATTTTGTGTTTTTATTTTTGTCAAAATTTCACTCAAAAACTAGCTAAATTTGATGAAAAAAACGAAATAACATTTTTTTTAGATTTTTTTTGTAATTTTTGAACATGTTTTAACAAGAATTTACAAAATAAATGAATTTCTGGTTCGAAAACAAACTAAATCGCGCGAAACAAGCTAAAATAATATTAATTTCAATCTAATTTGATAATTTTTCAGTCAGTTTTAGCAAAAATTTGTATGTTTTCAAAAATGTACGTAAACACTTAAAAAATGCAAAAATAACGCTAGTTTTGCTCTAATTTGGTAGTTTTTCGGTTTGTTTTTAACGAAATTTTGCAAAATAGTTCTGTTTATGGCTGAAAAACGTAAAAACTTTTTGAGTGAAATTTCATAAAAAACAAATTAAACAATTTCTTAACTATATAATTTGGTGTTTTTTTTATTTTTTTTTTGCGAAAATCGGGCAAAACAATTGTGTTTCTATGTATCTAACGATTGTGCAAAAAAGTTATTTTTTTTTGCAATTTTTAGGTCTGTGTTGACAAGATTTTGCAAAATAAATGAGTCTCTGGTTCAAAAAACAAACTAAATCGCGCGAAACAAGCTAAAAATAATATCAATTTTAATCTAATTTGACAATTTTTCTATACATTTTAGCAAAACTTTGTGTGTTTCCAGAAATGTGCGTAAACACTTTAAAAATGTAAAAATAACGCTAGTTTTGGACTAGTTTAAAATAGTTTTATTTTTGGCTGAAAAAACCCACTTTTCGACTCAATTTAGCGATTTTTTGATTTTTCTCAGTGAAATTTCATAAAAAAAACAAATTAAAATATTTTTTAACTATATGATTTGGTGGTTTCTCATATTTTTTGATTTTTTGGTAAAATAATTGAGTTTTTGGATAAAAAAAACTTGCAAAATACTCAAAAAATGCGAAAATCAGCGTCATGCTTTTTGACCTAATTTGACGATTGTGCAAAAAAGTTAATTTTACTAAATGTTTAGGCGAATACTTAATATTAATTCTCTGCTGTAACATTTTAATATATATAATAATGATAATAATATTGGATTTTTACAAAAGTTTTCTCTAAATTTATGAACTATTATAAAAATCTCCAGATTTTTTGAAATTTCACCAGATCTCGCAACATTGATGAAAGTTTGACAATTAAGATTTTAAATTTGAGGGTAAAATCACTTGGTACTACTCTGATCAAAGTGACCTGTGACTTTGAAATTAAGTTGGCAACACCGAATTATTGCAGATATTCGATTATGTTAGGTGACGGACATGTCAGCGGCTGCCCGTCGGGAACGAATGACAATTGACTATAAAAATGTGACATTTGAATTTGATAGTCAGTGTTGCCAACTTAATCAATCAGAAATCTTGCATTTTTTAAATTTTTGATTTAGGATAAGTCGTTTTTTCCGTGAGAGAGAGAGAATGTTGAAACGTGGTGTTTTCCAGGGCCAGCCCAGCGGCGAGGCCTTCATCCAGATGGACTCTGAGCAGTCGGCGTGCATCACCGCCCAGCAGAAGCACCACCGCTACATGACATTCGGCAAAAAGCAGCGCTACATCGAAGTATTCCAATGTTCCGGCGAGGACATGAATCTCGTTCTGACTGGCGGCATTCCCGCCCCCGTCTCGCCCGCAAAGGCCACCCCCGCGCTACTCAGTCCCGGTATGTTACCTTCAATTGCGCCTCTTCCACCTACTAATATCCCCCCGCCGCCCCCGCCAAACACCTCGGTTAATCAAATATCCCAAAATCTGACCAACTGGGACAATCAGGCGCTRTTCGCCCAACAGCAAGCCCAGATTATAGCCCAGCAGAACCTCATCGCGCGCCAGAACCAAGCGCAAGCCCAGAACGAAATGCTCCTCATGAACCAAATCGCACAGCACAATTTGGCCGTACTCAACCAGAATGTGGGCCCGGTGTCCCCAAACAGCCCCAATTCGGTACTGAAAAACTCGGCGGCGATGCCGATGATGCCGCATTTGATCGCGCAACCGCCGTTTGTCATGCTGCCGCCGAGGATGGCCCCGGCTTTGGGGCTGCCGAGGCACCAGCTAGCCTATCCTCAGCATTTGCTGCAGGGGGGCGCGCATGGGGTCATCCCGATGATGCCGCACGTCGCCGTCAAACGCAGCTACGGGGACGCGTTCAACGAGCAAGCCGCGCCGGCCAAAAGGGCCTTCCACGCCCAGGGGGCCCTGCCCGTCTATCAGCACTTTTACCCAAACATGTAGCCCTTTCTCACATTTTGTACATTTGTAAATATTACGAATTGGACGGTTTGATATTCGGTGCAAAAAAGTGCCTTAAATGATAAATAATTCATCATTCTCCCTGTATTTTGTATACAGGGCGTTGCGAAATAAAGTTTTGACATTTTAACATTATTTTGGAACACTAATTATGATTTTTTTCAGTTTTGTTACAAATGTTGAATTTTTTTTATTATGGAGCAAAGCTGAATCCTAGTTTACCATTTTCTGTGGTAATGTTTCTGATCTGCATTTTGAACTCTTGTTTTTGATAATAGATATTTATTGTTAGTTAGAATTAAGAAAATTTGATAAGCAAAAAATTGCTTAATTTTTAACATCCTAAAGTTAGTATGTACTAATGGCTCATATTTTTGAGTAAAAATTTAATTTTTTTACGTTTGTATACAGGTGTCTCAAAAGCAAACCGCCATACATCAACCAGTGATAGAATGTCATTTTGAGAAAGGGTTTAAATATATTTTTCATAATACTTTAATTGAAAAAAAAAAGTATTAAGTAGACATAATAACTACAAAAATTGCTCAAAACCTAAGCAATTGTTTCATAAATGTTATCACGACCAACTTGCACTTTTTGCTAAGCTGCAATTTTTTTTGAATGAATATAGAAAAAAATATTTAAACTTCTTTTCAGAATGACATTTTTTATCATTGGTTGACGTATGACGGTTTGTTTTTGGGACATCCTATATATTACGATTTGGCCGTTTTTCAACTTTGATGAAATTCAGTGCTAAAAAGTGGTTTAAAATGCAAGTAATTGAAAATACTTGCTATATTTAGTAAACAGGGCGTTGCGAAATGAAAGTTTTGACACACTACATGTAAAAAATCAGTTTTGGTCAAATTATTTGATGTCTTATATTTATTTTGGAAAAAAGTTTTATGATTTTTTCTCTATTATCTTGAAAACTGATTAAACAATGTTCAAGTAAATATAAGTGTTATTAACCTTTAAGTTTTGATACAAATATTGAAAAATTTTTCGAATTTTGGAGCAAAACTGAATCTTCCTTTACCATTTTTTGTGGTAATGTTTTTGATGATATTTATTGATTACGTTATTGTTAGTTTAAGAGCTAAGAAAATTTGATAAGAAAAAAATTAAAGTACTAATAGCTGATATTTTTGAGTGAAAATTTCTCATTCTTGTACATTTGTAAATATTACGAATTGGACTTTTTTGAATTTTTTTGATATTAGGTGCACACTTGGAAACGAAAAGTGCCTTAAAATGACAAATAATTGATAATTACGTGCTTTACTGGTATACAGGGCGTTGCGAAATGAAGTTTCGACACTAATATAAAAAGTGACACGAAAATATGAAAACTTTTTGTTGAAAATTGAAACTTTGGTAATATTAGGAACAAACTAAGAAATTACAAAGAGCCGTAAAACCACTTTTATATAAAAGTGAGTGTTATGAAATTACCGAAATTTTGGACAAAAATTATTGATCGAGCTATTTTATTTTATTTAAGCGTTTCTTTATATAAATTTTTGAAGCTTCTCTATGGAGCCCTTGTATATTGGTGATATTTATTGAATATTCGATAAGGAAAAATGAGTTAATTTTGACCTGGTGGTACTAATAAAATTTTTATCGTTGAGAGACAATCATAAGCGCTGATTGGTATTGTTTGGTGTCGMTGAGGCGTGTTAAAGATTTGGGATATTTGATAAGCCGTCGTGGGGTCTGTTGACGGTGTTGGCCCATTGCTGCAGCTATCCAAAGACTGTAAAGCGAATAACATGTGATTTGATACATTCCACGATTTTTATTGTTGTTATACAAATCTTGTTGATATTTAGATGCATTTTGCGCTATTTTGGAGCAATTTACTATATGTGTAAGACAGCTTTTGTCGTAACAAAAATGTTCGCAACTAATACTGAACTCGGATTGGGTATTCGTTGACTTGGTAACAGGAATTTGTTTCGAGTTGGCGCGCGTCCATGTGTTGGGAAGAGTAGCGTATGAAATATTGTACAAAACTCATGCATACGAATTATATTGGGTTTTTTAATTTTATTTAGATTATAGATTTTTTAATTGTGTTCGAAGGTGTCGAGTGTGGGTTTTGCAGTCGGCACTTTCGTCCCGATTCGTAGGTTTAGTGCATTTCCTAAGCTTTCGCTAGAAGTTTTTGAACATGTCTTGGTGTGTGTGCTTTGATGCGTCTGCATTTGACTCAGTTGGTGATTGGTAGTGGTGGGGGAGGCAAGCGTTTCAGGAATTATTATCATCTGAGGTTGAGTGCAGGAGGTGTCAAAGTGATTGGTTGAATGGGTGGACTAACATTTCTTTACGAGTTCTTGGCCCTTGTTAGGCTTCATCTCTACTAACCACACGAGTCGTGAGTTTATAGCGCAGCATGTACACCCGGGAATCCCAGGACGTTCATGTCTAGCGAAAGTTTCGTCAAGGAAGTGATTAATTTAACTCTATGATCACTTATATTTCTGTACTGTATGCAGCTCTTTTTACTTCATTACAATATGTTCTAATTATTTACACTTAATTAATAAATGTTTGTCACAATAATGCTTTGGGTTTGTTGTTAGTTTTCCTTTTGCTAAGACGTATTGCTCATTTTTGTCCACTCAATTTTTGTTGTCTTGTCTTGTCATTAAAAATGAGCAATACTGTACCATGTGGGCTAGTTTATTGGTTATACCCGGGATTGGAGTCGTTCGTGGTGTCTGCTGCCGCCATATGGTGGATCGGTAAAAATTCTGCTACACTGTGGTGAGTCSTTTTTACTTTTTATGCCCTTAGAATAACACACTTCTTGTCACACACGTAGAACGAATATCGATCGAGAAGCTTTCTTTTGTATGTGGGATGGCATTTCGTGCCATTTTGGTGACTGGATTAAGCCACAATTCACACACCATTTAAGCATGGAGTTCGTTAATTCATTATACCATTAAATAATCACTAAATGAGAAATTTAAACACGAGAAAAACTGTTTGATTTCATCACTTTTGGGCATGTTGATCWGTTTTTGAACGAAGTTTTTTTGTTTAGGTGGCAATATCATACCGACATTCCATCCGGGACCGAATTTTCCCGGATACGGCCCTGTGCAAATCGCCGCCGCACCCTTGGGGCCAAGACAGTTTTTGCCGCCGCCGATTTTCTATTGGCCCTATCCTAGTCCTCCGGTCTCGCCGACCAATTACTACCCCACTATGCCGCCACCTGGCGCCTTGCCCCCGCAGCAGCCCCAACAGGCCATGGTAAATTGAATCAAATTAAAAAAAAACTGATATACCGGGTGTATCCGGTTTTAGCTGCACCACCAAAAATACGCTTTCTAATGAAACGAAAATTGAAAATAAAATTGTAGATGATTTTTAYATGTAGAAGATTTTGTTTTTTTCACTTTTGCTCAATTAATTATAATTCTATGTCACGATTTTTGTGTATTTTGAGAGAGTGCATGAAAATGCTCAATTGGATTTTCGAGGAACACTTATTGATATTGATGTTTTCATTATTTCAGAACCGTATTCAACTTTTTTGCATATGACAATCTACATATTTTTTTACATTTTTATGCCCTAAAAGCAAATTTTTTTCAATTTTACAATTCTTATACAGGGTGTGTCAGAACTCGCGCCCCAGAGAAAAATTTCAAGTAAAGAACAYGGAAAAAATGTTGACATATAAATTTTTTTATGTCTATTGTATATGTTTTTTTATAATAATTTAGTAAAGGTACAAACATTTTGCCAATAAAAGCCACAAATAACATTAAACAGAGTTACAATTTAGGATACAGCTTCCTTGCTTTCTCTTCTAAAACAGCCTATAGCAAAAAAACTTGAAAAATTATTTTTCTAACAAAAAGAAATATAAAATTTAAACTCTCATAACTTTTTATATCTAGATAGCATTTTTTAAACATTTTTTTCATGTTTCTGGCATTTTTCTTTGGGGCACGAGTTCTGGCACATTCTGTATTTTGGTAGCGCCCTTGCCAAGTTATTCTAATTGTTTTGCAAAATATCGAAAATATGTAMTGATCGACTTCAATTTTTCTAGCATCTTTATTATTAACAATAGATAAGTAAAATTTTGCATGTTGGTAAACTCTGCTATCGTTTGATAAACCGTGAAAATTGAAAAAAAAAATTAATTAGAGTAGGCGGTGATTAAAAAAAGTTCAGCTGGCAATCCTGATTTTTGACTTTAAATGTCAGCGGAAACTTTGACAAGTTTACGTTTTATTCATTTTGAGTGAAATAATGTTCGCTTTAGAACAGAATATTTTTGTTGTTGCAAGTTATTACAAAAATGCTGTACAAGACGAAAATGGCAGAATATTTTTGTTGTTGCAAATTATTAYAAAAATGCTGTACAAGACGAAAATGGTGAATGRTCATTTTCACTTCCAGGTTGTGTGGCAAATTTAAAGAAAAAATTGTTGCCAACTGTAGAATATTAATCGTCGCCTACTCAAATTTATTATTTTTTCGATCGCACGGTACTTTTGGTTTATTTATTTATACAGGGTGTCATCTAGAAGTGATCAAATTGATCAAATGTTCAAATAGTCACAAGTTTTTTTTTAATATTACAAAAAGTTGCAACYATATATTTTACACCGAAAAATAACAWTAATTTGTCAGATAAACGGTAATCCTATTAATACGGATATACAGGGTGATAAAGCTGCATGAATGAAAAAATAAAATCCATTGCTTTCTCTGAAACCACTTGAGTTATTTTCATAAATTTTTACAGGCTTTGTGAGTCCTTGAAAAATGCTTATTTTTTGATAATTACTTTATTTTTACTCTTATCAGTGGCGTGCATAAGAGCATGTCACTGGATATTTTTTTTTTAGTGTTGTTTTTCGATGTAGAATAATATGTAATTGCAATTATTCACACCGCAAAAAATTTGTACTTTATAAACTACTTTCTAAAAATATGAAATGTAAATATTTATGCTTATTTAATCTTCCTAGGCAAAAAAGTTTTGTTTTATTTTAAAATACAAAATCAAAAAAGCTCATTGTTTTTATGACGTAAACAACGTCAACTGTTCAAAAATTCGTAAAATATCTAGAAAAACTTGAACTGAACCAAAAGGTGTTAAATTTGATTAGATATAAAAGACTGATCAAAATCTACGATCAATCGAAATTTTTAGCTACAATTCTCAAGTGTCTATAATGATTTTGTGACAAGTAGTAWGAATTTAAAAAAATATCACTCTGAAGTGTTAATTAAAAATAAACATTGTATTTCTTTGAAAAAATTTAATACACCTATAGGCAAAAATGGTTGCCGTTAAATTCCAATTAATTGAAAAAATGTGAAAGCGTCCAAGTAAACAATTCAAAAAGTGGACAAAACATTTTTTTTATTTATGATTTTTTCTGCAATTTTAGCGTAATTAGAAAGCGGTGTTTTGGGGGTGATTGGAAATAATTTTGATTTTGTGTGTTTTTGTGTCGAGAAGCTTGTCTGGAGGGAAAATGTGTTTGCAGATGCCCCCCGAGTGCGTGGCGCTGCCGCCCATGGCCCCCATGCCCGGCATGGACTCCCGAATCATGCTCGATGGCATCCCGAGACCGGACCACGACAAGGCCAGACAGAATTTCGTTCCGAATCAGTATGTCGAGTTGAAGATTTGAATAGTTTTGATAAYGCGTACCTAACTCTTAAACTATTAAGTATATCACCGGATAAATAGCTGAGATTGCGTGACACTCAATTGCACATATCAGAATGGATAAATATAYAGTTACTATACATATTTAAATTAATATATTGCAGATTATAATATATTTCATTGTTAACRTAAATTATTATGTTTTTAAATTATCTTTATCTCAGTTTAGTTTAGATTTAAGTACCTAAGAACGTAGCTGATTTGTTAGGTATTTTATTTAGCAGACTGCTTGTGAAATATTAGTGCAATTTATTATGGTCGAAGCTAGGCACGAGATTATTGATTACTTTTAAGGTTTATTGTTAACAACAAAAATTGCGTTGTCTTCCAGTAGAGTAATCAATGTGATTGTTTTATTTGTAAGGATAGCCTCGCTTAAATGCTTACTCTTATGTGATTTATCGTAGCCTGTACTCGTAGCAACACTGCAATATCGTTATAGAAAATTCCTATGCAACGAAATAGTCATAATTTTTAACGAGGCAAAATTATTAGATTTTCGTAGGTAGTCTAGCAGAAAAGCTCAAAATTAGCAAGTAATGTGCAATAAACTAAGTTTGTTTCTCTAAAATATTTTACTAGTGATAAACTATTAGTCAAAGTGACTATAAAGCATATAGTTGTTTGAATTTATTGTTAATTCGATTTGAAACATATTATTTTATAGTATGTTAAAGACATAGTCATAATATTATTAATTCATTTTATATGTTTTTTTTTTTTGATTTCGGTGAAACGAACCGAAACATTAGTCGAGTTAGTGTACCTATCTATAATTAACTTTTAGGCGATAAGAATTTACTTAAATGACACTACAAATAAGTTTTTCAAGATCTAGATTTGAATCATGAGTGGCTGATTTTAACGCAAGGTCTGAAGAGAAGAAGCAAAGTCTTTGCCCTGTTTTGTTTTCTTATAATATTTAAGACAATAAATATCGTTGTTACTGACAAACGTGTTTTTCTCCCAATTACATAATTGCATTCGCAGGACAATTATTTTAATGCGATTTGAGCTCCTAAGGGACTCGCCCCAATTTTCGCAAAAACACAACAAAATTGTTAATTTTATTGGGTGGTAGTGCATTAAAATATTAGAAATGAAACAATAAACATTTACTCCAGTGGCGGTTCGTACTTTTGTATGAAAAGGAGGCAGAACTTTTATACATGYCGTAAATTTGATGTCTAAAAATGKTTTTTTTGACCCGACAAAAGAAGAAGAATTTGCACCCCACTGACCCAGCGGTTTAGACCTGCAGTCAGGCAAGATTTATCATTACGGATATAGATATAATGAATTTTGAAATGAGATTAATGTAAGAAAAAACCCCTAAATTCCCCAATCTAGCGTCAYTACAGATCTTCCGCCTTGCAACTTATGATGAATTATTATTAATTAGGTTATTATTTTTGATTTATTAAAATAAATTTCGTTAGTATTGAGACATTTTAACAATATTCCAAGTTTTTAAAATGGCTGCTTTTTGTATCTCAATAATTAAATCTAAATTGAATTTTAAAATTTCAARATTTACTTTAAAATTGCTTGGTAGCAGCCTCGTCTTCTACAAATTTTGAAAAAGAGTTTKKGAAATAATCTATTTTATCTAAGACACAATTAATTTCTGTTTATAATTCAATAAATACTTACTGTTGCACACAAAAATCACAAATTCACACACATCACTTGGCGATAAACAAAAAAAAAAAAAAATAAAAATGAAAGTGCACTGACCTTATTTGGCATCTTTTTCTGCTACCTTTTGTAGCAATTTGCCTCTGCTTCTTAAACGGACCTACTGAAAATAAAGAAACCGAAAATCTGTTTAATGTGTTATTAAATCAGTTGAAAATATTAAATAAAATTTAAATGTGATTTTTCTAAAAAATTAGAAGGTATTGTTGACTTACCCTTTAATCCGGATCCTTGAAGCACAATAGTTCCTCCATTTCCCCYATTGGCACTCACTAATAACTCKAAATTGTAAAAATCGCGCACTACTAAATGTCTATTAGGCACTCGAAAATACCCAATACACACGCACTAAGAATACAGCCTCTATTTCTACAGAATTTCGCACTGAACCACGAAATAAGTAATTTATTCGGACAATTATTACAATTCAAGTAACTCCTACGGGAGCTTGGMCAAGACTGACTCGCTATTATAATAATTCTTCAAAAAACGGCACAAAAACCATTTCGTAACAGTTCCGGTGTAAAAGGCCTTTGTTCGGGACTGCATAATCCCGCCCATTCGCCACGTCACAAAGTAATTTGAATATTTCACCATTTTTTGCGCCCTTTGATTCGCCTGATATGACGTCAAGATTCTAGCATCTGATTGGCTGAACTTTTACTGAAACTTCACTTTTGTTTAAAGCCGACAATGAAATTTTAATTTGCCATTAATCGATTTAGAAAAGGCAAAATAAAATTTAATTCAGGACCACCTAAGGAGGAAAAAAAAGGCAATTTGTTTAAAACTGGTTAATAATAATATTAATAATAGACCTTTATTAGAAAAAATAAAAACACAAAATACAAACTCTATGGGGCGAAGTCTAGCCGAAGGCTAAATAAAAATGAAATAACAAAAAAATATATCAAAATTGACGACTAAGGTCAACCCCAAAATAATTTAAAAAAATATTATACGAGAAAAACAAATCATAATTAACATTAACATTAGGTAAACTAATTACTGTTAACCATGTGACAACAAGAAATCTTTGTAGAGTTTATTATTTGCAGCAAAAATCCTTATTTGAACAAATAAAAAATTATTAAGGTTAAAATTATATAAAAATCATAATTTACGATTCAGAAATAGTTAAAATAATTTTTATTTTTAAAGTTCTATTTTTACTTGCCTCCCAAGAGAGAAGGCTTCTTCAGCCTCTCTTGATTTACTGTTGCTGTATTTTTTTAAATTTAATCTTTTTTATTTGTTCACATTTTTTTAATACATATGTGTTTATCTTGTCTTTATCTATCACCCTGTCTTTTAATATTAAGTATAAGTCATCAGAAAAACTGGGCGCAGCCCTAATTACGTAGCGTCCTTCTCTTTGGCATTTTCTCACCCTCTCGAGATATATTCAGCAATTTTGCAAAGACACTCGAGAACATTGAGCCCGATTGCCGATTGCTATGTGATAATTTATTACAAAATGGCAACCAATTAATCTCGGTGAGAGCACTCAGTTTGTCAGCGGTGTAATTAAACGGATGGCCTTATTCCGTCGATGCGCCACTTTTGGGGCAAACAACGTCGAAGAAACGAGAAAATTGCTCTCCGATTTAAAAATTTGAAATTTTTAGCAGTGGGTTTTGGCCTATTATTTCGGAATTTATTTTTTGACTTTTCTTATTTTCGTTCAGTTCGAGTTTCTTACTGTAAACATCATTATGAGCTCATAGAAAGTCCTCAGGTTTCCTATAGGAACTGATTCAAGTCTCAAAAGCGCAATTCGATTTATTTTTCAATATCTCGACTCCAATTAAATTAATAAGAAATATAACCTCATGAAATAAACAAGCAAAAAACTCAGTATAAAGTTAAATAAATCGTCGTTCATTAACTCTGACGAAATTTAACCGTCAGCGTCGCCCCCAGGGACATCGATCCATCCTCGTCTAGCATTATGTATTTGCAAGTATTGCAACCGTGAAAATTTAGTTTTGGTCGGAAAAAATAACACCGCTCTTGGGTATTAGCAAAATGTCAGACGGCAAATGTTAAAGGAGTTAAGTATTGATTGTGATAAAACCATTGTAATGCTCTTATCTTATCAATTAATTAGAGTTTCTGTGTTGTTACTACATTTGGAGCAACAAAAATAATTTTTTGGCTTCGACGATTGTAATCATTGCTTGGAAACAGAATTTTTCCATTTATTCTCGATGCATGGAAAAACGTTTTTTCCGCACCGCGGTGTTTTTTACTTTGCAACAAGAACTAGGGGAAATCGCGTTCTACGGTTGGTATTAAATGACATAACAAATGTCTTTTTTAATTTCTGGTGGCGTCAAAACTTCGTCAGATTTCATTTTCACAGAAATATACTTGAATAATTAAAAAAGAAAATGGCGCTAGTGTTTCAAATTTTGTTTACATAAAACCATAGTAACGGACAGGAATACCAACTCACCAAATAGTATATGACTAAATAATGGGAAATTATCTTTTTTTAAATAATTTTGAGTTATTCGTTACAAAAACCTTGTACCTAACTCTCGGAAAGAATAATTTTTTAATATTATCTTTCCAAACTCGTTAGGTAAATAACTATTACACATTTTTGACACAAGGCATTAGTTAAGTCTACAAAACAACACAAAACTGTTTGCCGAAAAAAGATACTTTATTGTAAATGATATTTTATAGCGTTTACTTTTATTAAAGCACTCGGCTTTGCTTCGTGCTTCAATAGCGATCGTGGTGTAAAATTATTCCTACCGCACTTATAAAATAAATAACTGTTTTCTATCAAGGAAGATTTTTTCCTATATATGAAACAGCTTGCTGACATCTCTCCTGCGACTCGGATTGTTATGAATTCCGTGCTTGTAATATTAAGACATGGTTTCTGGTATTGATTTGGGAATGTTACCGTTCGCAGCGGCAGGCATGCAAATCGTGGTTTTTTGTTCCGTAACTAATTTCGGTGCCGAAATTGATAAAAACAAGCCGGGCTTACAATAATATTTCACAAACGTTGTATTTTTGTGCTTATCATTTTAAAACGTAGGGTCGATAACTCCGGAATTTATTGCACAGTTTTTTGGAATCTATTCAAAATTGCTTCGATTGTTTGGAATTGCTGGAATTATTTGTGAATTACTGTTTTTTTTTCTGGAATTACTGTATTCTTGGAGATATGGGATCAAATAATTTTTTTTGAAAATTACATTGAATTTTTTAGAAATATCAAAATTTATATAATTACGAAAATTAAGTAAGAATTACAGGAATTAATTTAAACTTATAGGAATTACTCTAAAAACAGGAATTACGATAGATTATTGGATTACTGGAATTTTTAGACTTTTTTGAAATTACTGGAATTATTTTTCAATCACTAGAATTTTTCTGGAATTATTGGAATTCTGTTTGAATACTAGAATTCTTTGTGTTATTATCGGAAATAATTTATTTTCAAAAATACATTAAGTTTGTATCGGAACTAGCGGAATTAATTGAAACTACCGGAATTAAGTTTGAATTATAGGAATTAATCTGAAAATAATAAAATTACGATAGATTATTGGAATTTCGGTGGAATGTTTTTGGAATTACTGGAATATTATTTGTGAATTACTGGAATTCTTCTTAAAATTATGAGAGATATTTTTTTTTGTTAATTATGTTGAATTTCTTAGAAGTATCAGAATTAATTTGGAATTACAGGTATTATTTTAAAATTAAGTTGGAATTAAAAGAATTAATTTAGAATAATTATAGGAATTAAACTGAAAACGGGAATTACGATAAGTTATTAGATTACTGGAATTTCGGTAGACTTTTTGAAATTACTGGAATTATTTGAGGATCACTGGAATTTTTCTGGAATAACTGGATTTTTTTTTGAAATTACCTTTTCAAAATTACGTTGAATTTTTTAGAACTATCACAATTAATTTGGAATTACAGAAATTATTTTTGAATTACGAAAATTAGGTTGGAATTAATTGTAATTGCTGAAACTGATTTGGAAGTATAGGTATTATTGGAATTATTGGAATTTCGGTGGAATTTTTTTGGTATTCGAATTAGTAGGGCACATTTTTTTTAAGTCAATAACGGCCCTTCGTTTCAAAGCTTCAACAAAATTGACTTGGATCTTTTGTATAAATTTCTACAATAAAAATGTGTCAGGGTTATTAACACGAAAACTGTATAATTTACACAAAATTTCCTGCAGAAATTCACTGAAGGTAAAAAATATTGAATTTTTTTGTTTGGCTTCATTTCTCACTGAGTTTAAAAGCGAAAGGTCACAAAACACCGTTTTCATAATTTTTTTAATATTTGTTTGTTTTCTCATAAAAGTAGATTTTTTATCTGGCTATATAAGTTTTGAAAAAATAGCAGGAAATATGAAGTAATTACGTTTTGCATTTCATTCAGTCTTTTATCGCTTCTAATACCAATTTTTAAGGCCGCATCGAATTATTGGCTGTTAAGGAAAATGTTACGAGTCAATTCCCCAGCGAATTGTAATACCAGAACCTCTAACGGGGGTGAAAATGAACATTTTGCCCAACTCACATCCGGAGCGAAAATGGACAAACCTTTCGCAGTCTTCTTCACATTGACAAAAAAATTAGAAAAAAAAAACAGGAATGTAAATGTCTTGAGGGAGAAGACATTTTTTTACTTGTATTTTTTTATTGTTTGATATGCAAAATTGGATTGCGCCTACCTTCTTTAAATCGTTGTGAAAAGTCTTTTATTTCAATCGAAGACATCCGGAGCTTAATTTGAAAGAAAAACCGGGCACGAGTCGGGAGCATCCCACCTGTTCCCTCGCATTTCCCAATGCTACCTGTTGCAAAGCATGGGGCGCATGCCTGCGATTTTCCGCTTTCTCAGCCTCTGGAAAACCGTGCTTTTCGTTGTTGAGCGTCGCAGGAGTTGACAATTAACCAGACTTTGTCAAAAGAAAAGCCTTCAGCCATAGAAAATTTTATTTGTTAAGACATCTGTTCAATTCAATAACCGATCAATTGTGGAATTTCGGTGGAAAATGCAATTTCCCGGGTTTGCAGCGTCCGAAGTTAGAAAAGCTCGCAACTAGACGTTTCGTCTTTTTCTCGAATATTGATCGCGCGAATTGCGCCTGTCTGTGATTCCCCCATTCAAGCGACTCGTCGGTGGATGGTCTACGACAAGCATTAGTGTTTTGGCGAGTGTCGAGTGCACTGTCACGCTTGGGGTAAGTCCACAATTTCCCAAACATGAATGAAAATTTCCTCCAATCAGATCGAAATGGGAAAAATCACTGAGTAAAAATGAAAGTGAACGGGAGCTTCTCCAGGAGCAGCTCGGCGAGGTCCTCCAGGAAATCGGCCGTCCTCCCGAAATCCTCCTACTCCTCCCCGACGCCGGGCTCGGCCCCCCGAAGCCCGCACTACCACCACGAGCAGAAATCCCCCATCTACCCCAGGAGTCCYCTCGTGGAGCGGAGCGCCAAGTCCCCCAAAGTCCAACTGTGTAGTCCYTCGCAGACTGAACGAATTTTCGATTTTAATCAAAGCACGGGGCCTAAATCCCCGAATCTGCCTCCAAAGTCGCCAAGATCCCCCAGATCCTTCAATTACGAAGAGGTGCAGATCCATAATGAGGGCACCTCCACGGCCAGTTTCAACCTCCAAAGTCCCCCAAAGTCGAAACTGAGCAAAGTGTTCCATCGGCAACAGTACCAGTCGTCGAAGAGCGACTCCAGCAACTCCAAGTCGAGTCTTGAGTACCACTCAACCACCACACACCCCACGCGGGGCTACCAGGACATCGAGTACAAAATTTGCCATTCGCTTGACTCAGAATCACAAAGTGACACTCAAACCTGCTCGAGTTATCGGTACTCCTCCCGGCATTCCTCCTTCAAGGAGAAGAGCAAGAAACCCAAATGCAACATTAGGACAAATCCGGGTTACGACGAAAGGTGATTTTTCCCGATTTTTTTTTCAGTATTTCATTAGGAATTTTCAGATATTCTTCAAGTAAATCGATCAACGAGTCCGATCGCACAGATAAGGCCCTTCTAAGGTGTCGCAAGTCAACTTCTGACCTCACCGACATGACGGATGATGCCGCCAACACGACCATGACCTCTTTAAGTCGACCCAGCTCCCCGCGGAGGAAAGGTTCAGTCAAAGGTGGTTTAGCGTATTTAGCTTCTCGAAGAGGATCGAGAGATTCGATTGCCTCCAACATGTCGAATGTGTCAAATGAGGACATCGGACCTTTGAACTTCCAGAACACGGCGAGGGGGCGCCAGAGACGCACTTCCAACTTCTTGGAATTGCCCGGTGAGTTTTTTCAATCGTTTTTTAAGGAAAAAAAGAGAGATTATTTTTTTCTTTATCTCGCCGGTGATAATAATCGGGAAAGCAATCAACAAATCAAGGATTTGGTTGCTATAACACAATTTTGGATTTTTAGTGTGAGATTAATAAATTGCTCGCTATGCTCGTTCATCAATTAAGGCTTTGTTGCCAAATTGGCAGAAACGATGTAAATTGTGTTGAAATTTGAACGGCTTTTTGGTGATTTTAACAAAAAGTTTGGTTTTGTTTGAGGTATAGAAAGATAGGTCTAAAAGTTGCTAAGTTAAAATTTCTAAACTCGAAGATCTGTAATAAATTCTATGGAATTTCGAGGTTTCTACTTTTTAGGTCTCTTAATGATTTATTTACTCTATATGAAAATCAGCTTTTCTATTAGAAAAGTGAAAAATAAGGTAAAAATAGTATATTWTGTTACTAAATAATGTAATTGAGCCACATAAACTCACTTTTACTCCGACTAACATGTACTGTTTTATCCCTAAACGTATTCAGGTCGACAGTAAAGAGTGTAACATTATAATTGGCAAGTAAATGAACAAAATAATCAGAACGCTTTGCAAGTAGTGAAATTGTAACAATGCTTATAAACAAACATCACGTGTCAGTATCGGAAATTGTAAATTGCTGAAGCAGTGAAAAAAACAAGAAAGAAACAATAGTGGTAAATGTCATGGAAAAAGTAAAAATTTTTATTTGTGATATTRTGWTAAAAGTGGGCACTTTTGTGCCGTTTGCGGATAAAATSKTTTTTTTTTTAATTGTTCCTCATCACTAACAATATTTTTGGTTCTTTTTTCTTCTCTGAACACGTATAACAAGGTTCATAAATCAATTAAGATAATTCTTAATGATACACAGTGTGTTCTTAAAAATATCTGTACCTAAATAAAATTACTTATTATCACAGTTAGTCACACAGAACTTAAGGAAACTTTAAGTTGCAAACTAAAAAAAGGAGAATTTAGTGGTTATAAATAATTTATCCACTAATTATGTATTTTTTTTATTATTTTGAACACAAGCTTAAGTATTTTTACGTAGAATTACGAGTAGAATGCTTGGTGAAAAATAGAAAACAAAAAAGATGTAATAAAAAATTGTTTGTCAGTAACTATGTTTAGTGACAATATTTGTTTCTTTTTTTTTACAAGTGTAACAAAGTTTTATAATAATTTTAGTTAAGTTGATTCTAAATAATACACAGAGTTTTTATAAGTCTTTGTAATAAATAAAGTTATTTAAAAACCTAGTTTAGCACACTTAAAACTAAAAAATATGTGATATATGTGATAATTTAACACTTCAAGAGATGAAAAGTAAAAAGTGAATTTTCGGAGTGTATGAATGTTACTCCAATTTTATTACAATTTACTTACTATACATATTTTTGTTATTATTCCAATTTCGAAAACTATGTAATATTTAATAGTAAATATTTTCAAATATAGTAAATGTTGAAACATTAAAACCGAACCCGTTTGGTGTTTCTGATTTTTGATATACAGGGTGTTTTATGCACAAATAATGCTAAACAAAATAAGATACCAGAAACATTAAAAAAATGTTTAAAAAATTCTAGAATTAAAAAAAAAATTAAAAAATATTCCTTGTATTTTATTTTATTTTGCATTTTTCTTTTTTTGTGTTTTTATAAAACACCCTGTAGAGACATTAGGAAAATAGATAAAAAGTTGTAATATACTATTTTTGCGCTTTTTATGGTGTTTTTTTTTAAGAAAACCAGATTTATTTCTATTTTGCCTTTTTAACAAGGTTATTAAAAACTCTTTTGGATGCCGTAATAGCTCCTCATGTGTTTTAACATCCTAGTGTATTTTATATTTTTTATGTTGGTGACATTGCCGTTGGAAGTAAATTGCTTTCAATATTACTCTCAATTTTCCGAATTTTCGGTGGTCTACGTGAAAAAACTTGAGAATTAACTAAATTATACACAATGACAATTGTCAGTTAAAGTTGAATTTTACAATGTCTTCATGAATAAAACTGTTACGTGTGCTACCAACCGGGGCAAAATTCCCTGAATTAAAAAAAAATTAAAATTATTAGTAATGCAAAATGAAAAAGAGAATAAATATGTTCTTCAACTCGTCGCTACGCGGCTTGTTTCGGAAGTTTAAAGTCTTGGATGATATCTATTGTAACTTGTATTTTAATATAYTATTTTATTCGGTTTCTTGTTTATTTTTCATTATTAACAATATTTTGTTTATTTTTTCTTTTCTCAACGCATAAAAAGTCTATAAATCAAGAATTTTAATCAAGGTGAGGTGATGATATACTTAATGACACAGGATGTTCGAACATCTCTGTAATAAAAGTATTTTCAAAAACTTAGTTCTGTGTGGCTTTGTGGGGGTTTTGGGTTTCACTATAATTTACAATTTATTCCCTATACGGGGTGTTCCAGCGATTTGGTAAACTTCACAGACTAAGAGATTTTTTTGTGTCTAAATTTAAATATTTTTTTTTTGTAATCAGTTAGAAACATTTAAGAGTCTATGTTTTTAGAGAGACAATTTAAAAGTATTAAATGGATTAATAGAAAATATGGTGTTCTTTGTAAATCTTTTAACAAATTATTTTTTTTATCGATTACAACAAGCTAAAAAACTGTATTTTTAATGTTTGAACTTTCTTCTCTAAAGTGGTGAAAGTCTTGTAGGAGTTTTGGTCTTTGTATAATAATTTTTTAAACAAAGCGTTTGTATTGTTTTTACCAACTCGCCGAGACACCCTGTACATTTGTTTATATAAAAAAACAAAAAGAAACAATTTCAATAAAGTTAAAAAAATGTTTTTATTTATTTTTKTACAAACACATTTTGTTTTTATATTTTTCTTCTCCGAACGCATAACAAATTTTAATTAAGATGATTCTCAATGAAACAGGTTGTTTATAAACCTTTGCAAATAAGGTGACTTACAAATGACATACTGAAATAAAAAAATATGTCTTATTTTTTGAAGGGAGCAAAAAAATTGTTGGAACTCTGTTGATAAATGTCAGGTCTGCTCCAGAGTCAACAATCGATTGTTGGTGGAAAAAATAATACGTGAGGCAGAAACCTTCGCCCAACGAGTAATTTGTGATATATTTCTGATGCTACAGCCGGATGATGTAATTACTGCGAGAAAACATACAATTGGACACGTGACCCTTTAATACAAATCGATACGGCTTACCTTTCAATTTTTAAATATATCGCTTCTCTGGAATTTACAATCATCTCGTTGCTAAACCGATTTGCTGTTGTTTATTCAAAAAAAAAAATAAAGTTGTGGATCAGCGAAGCTGCACTGCACCAGAACAATACAATTCCTCGGTGAATTTTATTGTTGTTGGAAATAATCATAATAAAATTCAAGTCGGGAACTGACTGACTGATTATTCGGAGTGAAGTTAAGTTTTCCTATTGTTTAATTAGCTTCTTGAGTTTGTTTCTGGAAGATGATGAGTTTCARTTTTTCATTCAATTTGCGACTTGTTATTGCAAGAAATCTAGGTTGGAAATCTAATCACATTTGATTACTCCTAGAASAWTTTTTTWAAATTTCCGGGTTGATGTTWCAATTTGAAATAATTGTAATAATTCTAATAAACAAGCTCATTAATTAATTAGTAGTTTGTTTTCTCAATCGAAAACAAAATTTAATCATCCAAAAGAAACATTCGTTACTTACGTAATCAACAAGTAATAAAACAAATCATTTTGACCATTAACGTTGCGTGTCGTTGGAATTTTCTTTAAAAAGTTGGTTTTTGTGCTAGTTCTAAAAATACTACTTTGCAAGCATTAATCTTGTGTGGGACTATAAGGAAGGCATTTATTGAACATTTATCTTTACGGATTATCTGAATATAAATTAATGCCATTTTCCGTTGTTGTAATGGCTTTTTTATTCTTTTTTCACGTGTTTGAGCACGAAAATAGAGCAATTAGTAGGACTTGGAAAGYTGTTTACAAGTGCTWMAAATTTTCAAATAAGTTTGWTTATCGGATAACATGATACATTAAATAAATATGAAAACGAGAAAATATAATTAATTTTAAACTGAAACAATTTCCGCAACCACCTGGCACGTTTCGAATGTTGTAATTATCATGCTGGCTATTTTTCCCGGAAAATTCACTCTAAATGTAAATTTATTCATCGTTAAATCTATACAATAAATATTTGCAATAATAAATCAATTGTGATACTGGAAAGGAAAATATTTTTTAATGTGTGAAAAACTTTCGAGACGAAAAACTAATTTCAAACTCAAATAAATTCATCCGAGTTTAATTAAAAAAAAAACGCGAAAATTTCTAGAGATTTAGTCGTCGCGACGCTACAAAGGTTTTCTGAAGCCAAAAGCCTTTTCACAAAAAATGGGACCGCTTGTATCATTGTTAATTAAGTCATTAATTTTGTGACTTGTGCAGAGAAACTAACAATGAGATATGTGTTTGAAACATTCATAAAAAGTGCAGAAAATTAACATTTGAGTCTCACAGCCCAGTGGTTTGCAAACTTTTTAGTGATGATCCCTGGGATTTGATAACGTCTGAGTTATTTTTCCCCTACTAATTCTCTCCCATTTTGTGTAGTCCGGAAGTCAATTTCCTCTTGAAAACTTGTCTGATCGATGGCGATAAACCCAACTTTCGATGTTATTGTTCTCTATTGAACTTATCGAAACCCGGGATCTACAATTCAGCATAAACGGATTACAGGAACAGCCGATAGATTTACATAACTTGGCTTAATTGCTTGAGTAATTCACACTGTAGCTGGAAATTTGGTGCGAAAACGTTGGGTGATTTTTGAGAAGTTGGGTGATTTATCGCAGTCCAGGGACGAGGCATCGATTTTGCCAAATTGTGTTATTTTTGTAATAGATGTTGAGAAATTGAAAAAGTGGGTAACGAGACACCACTGGCTTTTTTAACGGC